AGTCTCAAGAAGGAAAAGCTAGGACATAAAGGTGGGTTTTTAATCTCTGGGCAAAGAGTGTGGGGTTATGTGTTTCTCTCAGATCTACCGGGAGGCATTTAGAGTGAGTGGATTACCATCGGGGACAAAAGCGCCACTGAAGCGATGAGCCACACAGCACTGGTGCATGCTAATCTGGCCCCTATTGAAAAGAGGTCAGCAGCGCACTGAGCCAGGTTGGTGAACAAAAGAAACTTATATAGCACCACACAATCTGGGCTCTTTTTACAAGGCTGCAGGCCCGGCTGAAATACTCACGCGTCAGTAGATTTTGTCTGTCAGGCTAGAGTGGACACCAGACAGTCCTTCACATGTTTGGAAGTGTCCAGTAAATGAAAATAGGAATTTTTAAAGAATTTTGAAAACAGAAAGAAATGATAATTATTCCGGACTAGCTTCATCAACATTGATAACTGTCCCCGGCAGCAAGTAGTCAACTGCTTGAGCAACGATGGGGTGATGGTCAGCGACTGTCACAAGGATGAAGAAGTGATAGTCCGGAGATGGTGTAATTCTGTGCTGTTCTGATGTTCGCATCTCACTGGTTCTGAGTTGGTGGATTTGTTGGGCACAATCACACGACAGTGGAAAGTTTCAGAAACACAATGTACCGTGTAAGAAGAAAAGAAAATACACTCGGGAAGTAAATATTCAATAAATGTGAACAGGCAAAAGTATAGTCCCCCAGTTCCATTACAAACGGAGAGAGCAAACCAAACTTATCCACTTGTCTGATCCGTCAAAGATTCCATTAAAACAGTTACCCTGCATAGAAATGGGTCAAACAGTCCACTTTGTTGCATATGGGAAAAGTCTTTCATAATTTCTCAGATACAGGTGCATGGTACTCATTGCAGCTTTTCACGGAAACTATGCTAAAAGTAACTCATAGGAAATTCCCATTGAAATTCATGCTAATTGAATGTCGAAATATTTCACCAAATATTTCTTTCCACAAATTCTTGTTCATTACATTAACCCAAACCGGGCAAGTCAACATGAGAGCAAAATACTCTAATGCAAGGGGGTGCTCTTCAAAATCTGCATCATTCTGGTGCCAATCTCACAGTAAAGTTTCCACCAGAATAAAGGTTAAGTTGTGGGAAAACACCTTTACAGCACCTGCACTAAAGCTAACATTGCTTCCAAATGTTTATTCATCATAATACATCCAAGAGCAAATGTCAAGAGAAGAGTTACCCACACGCTGTGTTACCCAGAGTATGTGACACAACCTCCATCCGTCATTGTCTAAACAAAGACGCCATGTTTGCAAAATCAAGGCACATTTTCTTGAAATTATTTATTTTTAGGAAATGGCGGCACCTCTAATTCTTTTTGTCCTAATTCCAAATGCTTAATAATTCAACCAAGCAATATTCGAGGTTACATTGATATCACGAAACAAGTTGCGTATCCGAGTTGGTAGATTTGTAGGGCAAAACTATAAAGTGTTGGAAAGTTTTGGGAACAAGCCACGGTCACACAGTTGTGTCCCACTTTCCTACCAACTGAAGATTCTAGAACAAAGGCAGGCCAATGTGCAGGTGATTCAGTCCAATATCCTTACTGCATTCCTCCAAAAGCCGCCATGTTGTTGCCCCTGACAACCATCAGATGAATATTCAAACTCTTTAAACACGAATTAACACACTGAAAGAAACATCTGAAGTGTAGACAATAACAAATGGTTATAGGACTTTCAATCATTAACCTCTACATGATTAAAAAATTCCAAATTACCATCCTTACTAAATCAAGTAAGCAATTTTTAAGATTACATAAATACCAGAAAACAAATTGAAATTGTGTACCTGATTTGATGGATTGTTAGGGCTCACCCATGCAGCAGTGTAAACTCTTGGTACAAGCCACCACCAAGTGGTGGCGCCCCACTTACCCTCCAACTGAAGGTTCCAGAACAAATGTAGGTCAACATACTTGCAATATACATGTACATTACTCACATGGCATTGAAACTGTACGGTATGCATGCATGTATGTACATTTAGGCCGTCAATGAAGCTCATCTCAAGTTCCAACATTGTACATGTACATGTGTATTTTGCAAGTTTTGTTAAAACTCTGTTGCGAAATGTGTTTCAGAAATATTTTCTGCTACTGTCATATTGCATCACTGCATTACACAATTGTGTAGTTGCGCATTGAAACCTGAAATGTACATCCATACAGATCTCATTTAAGTTTGGAATGAATTAAGAATTGTTTTAAATTTTGAAAAATGATATTCGGGGGGGGGAGATTGCTGTTTCTTTGAATGCTGCTCAGTTCCAGAGGTACTTGAATCCCAGTGATTACATGCCTATTTCAGGAAGGAGCACAATTGCTGAAGTGGAAAAGGGTGTCCAGCACATTCTAATTGACATCATCGCCAAAGACAGCAAAGTAGTGAACAGTCTCCGAAATCTGTAAGTTGAAAAGCACGCAGCCCATCAGTTCAACCTACGTGTTTGGGAAGAAGAGATCTCTGGCCATGGCCCAAGCCAAGGGTGGCTCTAGATTGATTTTATTTTGGGGGGGGGGTTGATGCTACATTTGGGGGCATGTTACTTGTTTTTGGAAGGAATGAGTAAAAATGTACGTACTATTACGTAAAAACTCAATGTCATGTGGAATTGAACTTTCACATTTGTGCTGTTAGTGTCTTTACGTGCATGCTAAGTTTCAAAATGATTGGGTGTGTGACACACAAGGTCTTAGTATCCCCCTGGCTGTGAGATGGTCCCCCAAAAAACTGTCCGTTTAGCTTGCACATTGTAATAGAATGTGTATCAACAAAACTTTAACCTAAAGGAACCTCAAACATTTTCCAAACATTGACCATGTTTTGCCTTCCTTACTCAGTGATGCAAGGAAGAAAAAGGTTTTAAAAAACTGCCCAGAATTATGGCTGTGCAGACCAAAAGAAGTATTTAAGACTGATGGTTAGTACTAGTGAATGAAAAATGGCCACATGGTATCGTGTTGATTGTTAGATGGACCAGTTGCAACTGCATGCATTCATTGATAACACACATTGAGGCCTTGTTTGTTTCATCTGGATCACGATCGGTGATCTGTCGTTGATTTATGGATACCAAAACTCGCCCAAGGGATGGTGCAAACCAGCGTTAGGATCACTGATCGAGATCCAGATCTGAGTGAAACAAATGGGCCCTGAAATTTACAGTTTTTTGAATCTCTACTAAAACTCAAGAATTACAATCTCAAAACAAGATAAATTTGTGGACAAACTCACAGCTGTTAGGGAGTTTTTCATTTTTCAGCTTTATCATTTTTGTTAGGGAAAGTTTCCTCTGATTTGTCTGAAATTCTCACAGTGATCCCCACTTATAAGATTGATAAAGGTGCGAAGTGACAAAACAAAGTCTTTCTCTGTAGGTTTTGTGTATACTTTAATAGTATACACAAACTATTAATAGGTTGTGTGTATACTAGGTTAATAGGTTTTGTGTATACTTTTATAGACTTTAATCTTGTGTAACGTGACCCCTGATGACGTCACCGTGACAAATTCTATTTTGACAGCCCCATGGGTTGATGGACTACATGTGCTCCCAACACAAGTCAATCAGATGTATGAATGCACCAATCTTTAACTTCAGAAAAATTTGCACCAGCCTATGGAGAAAAACTGCAGCTTTAAAGTCATGTTACGTGATTTGCATTTATATTGGAAAAAATTATGAAATATTATTTGATATTTGGACTCAGGTATATTTGTAGTCAAACGAAGACAAAAAAAATATGATTTCTCTTTCGTTCTCATAGTAATCTTCTGCCGAATATCAGGACTACTCTCATTAAGATCGATAATATTGTGTAGTAGAATAATGTGTACAATACCTATGGAGATAAATTAAATATTCAAAATTCAAAAATAAATCATGTGATGACGTTGTCATGACGTCATTATTTTAGTATCTTCTTAGCCTTAGAGTAGTTCCTTATTGTAACTGATCAAGATCTAAGATTGCTAAGTGACGAAAATGGTGCCCCTAATCTGTGTACAAAGTCTATGGGGAAAAATTAAGTATTCAAAAATCAGTAATGAAAAATTGATGATGTCATGTTTCATTATTGTGCAAAGTTTGAAGTCGATCAGATTTATTATGGTACCAAAGTCGATTGGCTGGAGAAATAGTCTGAAAAATGTGGGAAAAAAATTACGAAAACCACAGCTGTTTCGGCAAGAATGCCGAAACAGCTAAAAATGATTGAAAATGTAAAATTCACAAGCAGGAAGATGGAACCAGTATTGAGAATTAAGTCACCAAAACCTCTTGATTTTGATAGTGCGATGCATTCAGCCGCTGTTTCAGGACGCCTTTCTATGCCCTGCGACAAGGTGGAATGGGCGTATTGTTTCTGCCTTGTCCTTCCATTTGTGTGTGTGGGTGTGTGGGGGGTTGTTGGTGGGCCTTCCCCAGGTTATGGGGACAGTTTCTTTTCTGTTTTTCTTTTTTAGAAATACAGACCACATTTTGGGGACAAAAATTTGTGCCAGTAGCTTTTCTGGTCCATACAGAATAGGTGAGAAGACTGTTGAAGCGTATATTCCGACTACGGTACAACTGTGTGTGTGTCCAGAATATTAATGTCAGCATGATAACTTGAGAAATCTTCGACATTGTGAACTTAAAATTTGGTTTGTGGAATGCTTTTGGTAAGCCCAAGAATCCCACTGTATTTAGGGCTTTAAGGTCAAAGTCATAGTGACTGAACAAGAGAAATCTATCAACATGATAAGTTTGAGAAACATTTTGCGTGGGAACTTCAAAGTTGGATTGTGCATTGTTTTTGATGTTTTTGATAATATGCCCATAAGCCTATTGCATTTCAGCCTGAAGAGGTAAAGGGTAAAGGTCACAGTGAATAAAACACAACAAATCTTGGATATGATCGGAAATCAAAGTTGTGTCTAGGCATGGGCTTGGTGGGGCATTTGTGCTTGGTAACTCATCACTTTTCTTCATGTGTTAGAGTACAGACATGCATGACCACATTTGTTCCGTTCGTGCGTTTCATTTGCTGAGTGTTTTGCATGGCTTAAAATCCTCAAACTTGTTGACCCAGCAACGATGTCACCTCGGACAGGTGCACTGCAGTGCATGTACATATACTGTAGATACCCATTCAAGCCAGTATGGCATGATGATCACGCATGATCTCAAGTGAGCATATTTGCAGTGTAGAAATTGATTGCGCCTGTCCTATATTCCCTTTGCAGACCAGTGGCTGTGAGTAAGCCACACAATGCTCGGTTTCTCCTGTGGGGGATCCTTACTTTTGACAACTTGTTTTCCTTTTAACAGCGTGAGGCATGCCTACGTTACCGTCCAGACGACCCTGAGACAACTCACGGAAGAAAATGAAGTCAACAGAGACACCTACTCGCTCTATTTTGATTTTTCTGCATCAACGAGATCAATCAAACCTCACCAGGTGAACACCCGTCGGAGTTACTCATCCATATAAGGCTCATGCCAGGTGCCATTGCCCCTAACAGCTTTAATTCCTACCAGGTCGGTCAGTCACGAGAACTGAAATGCCAGTAATGAGCCAGCAATCCAGCCTGAGCAGAAGCATCGGCTGAAGAATGCCATGTTGGTGGGGAGAGTTCATTTTGTTGGTAGCAACGTGACCGTAACGCATGCATTTCCTAGTCATTTGTGAACCAGCAAAGTGCTGTTCCCACCAAAGGAGCCTATATTGCCAGGAAAGTTGCGCCCCCTGTTGGTCCCGCTCAAGCCTCATTAAAACCCCATCAGTGCCAAGCATGCACCCACCGTAGTACACAGTCTCATGTAGATGTATGTGTTGAGTAGATAATATATATTTGTTGTAATGCAAAAATTTGAAATATTTTATAAAGATAAAGTACATGTAATTGCAATGAATGGAAGTTAATAAGCATGGTGTCATGAACAAATGAACAATGCTGACACTTGGTATACCATCTTCAGGTCAAGTGAATAGGCAGAATATATGTAAGGTCAGTTCTCTCATTGCTTCTGGTGTCAAAAGTACTAATGCGTGAGGCTGTAAATTGAATAATTGGTTGATTGAAGTTGTTTAAAAAGGTTTCCATGGAGGGTTGAAGGGGGGCCCTAATACTTCTGTGTGGCTCTTTTCTAACCGGTTTAAAAAGTTTGAATATATTCCACCAATCCTTTCCCAGCTGTACATGCACATTACATTTTTTTTTATTTTGTTTAGCGTATTCCATAAATCATCCAATAGCATGGGTGCCAAAACTGGTTGTCATGAGTTGCATTTTCGTTTTAATGTGCCTGTGAAATTCATTATCTTCCCCACCGACTATCAAAAGGCACAACCATCGTAATCTTTTTGATGCAAGACAGATGCTTGTGAGAACTTCGCCACTGTGCCACAAATTTTTATCCTTTGATCCAATTTAAAAAGAGGTAGCTACTTGTCTTTGGTTGTCCAGGTGCTTGCCATAAATAGAGCCGAGGGGCAGAAAGTCTTGTTGGTGAAATTGGTCATCCCAACCAGCACCGTGGCCGGCTTCAAGGCATCCTGCCAAGGGCAGTGGGTGCCCAGGAGAGGCTGCCCGGAGCTGGTGGTCAAGCTGTTTCAGGCAGCCATCGATGAGGCCTGCAGTAAGCGCCTACTGCCCATGATTACTAGAGAAATCAGGTGGGAAGGCTTTGAATAGATCTGACAATTAGCATGGACAGTGTAGTAGTCACTTTCATCAGCACAAATCCCTGGGTGCCCATCAAGGTAATAGACCAGGAGCACAACGTTGCACTTTGTTTACATGTGCGCTTTCCTATCGGTGCTCAAAGGACCGTGTCCCACTTCATTGCCATAGCAATGCACATGTAAACAAAGCTTGATGTCATGACGTTGTAGGTCTATTCAAATAGTTTTAAGCCAAGTCACAAGGCATTCAAAGGAACATTCCTCTGCCATCGTCCACCCTGTTTACTTTTAACTGGTCTTGTGAAAAGACTTGACCACAACGTTGACTATTGATCTGCTCAAAGGCCATTTTTCAAACTGAAGCCTCCTCTTAGAATTAGGATTCATTCATCTCTTGGTCCTTGATCTTATTCAAACTACTTTCGGTATAAAGACATACAACTACTGTTCATGTTATGTTTATTTTTGCATTTGGCCAAAAGCAATTTCTCGAGGTTCCATCCCAGGAGGCATAACCAAGTGAAATGAAATACCCAATCTTTCACCTCGTAAAATTATTGTCTCCATTGCATGAATGTGAAACATTTGTTTTATAAAACACTTAAATATATTGTTTTCGGAGGTAAGTCTGTGTTTTCCTTTCTCACTCTGGCATAAACTTGGGCTAATAAGTTGTCTTGCTTCATGCTTGAACAGACATCCCCAGGGGTCTTTGTGAATTGTTTATATTGATTTACAGTCATTTGCAAAATGTTACATGTAGGACCAACCATGCAAAATGCATTAACCTGAAGAAAAACCCAAACTGAAACCAATCAATCATGCCAACTTATGTTTATTTCCAATGTGTAACCTCAGTACTATGTATCTTGGTTAAAAAGATACTTGACTTCATTTCCATGATTTGAAATGTGAACAGTCTAATATCTAGTGTGCCTTCCTTTATTTCTGATTACCCAGTATGGCTTTTTTTTCCCATGGGGCCTTTCAGACAAAATGTCACACCTGCCTTTGCCAAAAAAAAGTCATTCAAATGGGTATATAGCACTACACTGATGTTATGCACCACTGTAGAAACATGTTAAGTATGTCGTCAATGAGACAATGTAATGCAGGCCAAGTGACAGTGATACCAATAAAATTCCAGGTGGTTTTAAACTTTTGCAAATGACTGTCAATGTAATTTCTTTATATGAGAAGCATCAGCTGAAGAAGTTTCATTAGTCTGTGAAACTCTCTCCACCCCAAGCACTAGAATATCCTGGGTACAATGCTTACCATGCACGCTCTGTCTAGTAGCAAAATGCATCTTTTTCTTCATCTACAGATCTCTCTGAATGTTGTCTTTTCTGTTCTTTCTTCCACAGATCCAATTTGACCAAGTCAGCCGAGAAGGCGTCCGTGGACGTCTTTGCCCAGAACCTGCGCCGTCTCCTCCTGACCCCGCCCGTAAGAGGAAAAGTCGTCATGGGGATTGACCCCGGCTACAAACATGGCTGCAAGGTGGCTGTCACGTCCTCCTTAGGTCAGCCAACAAAAAGTTCTTATTAAGCTTGACTATTGCATTTTCCGAGTAATACACTCAGCTTAAAGTATAGTTGTTCTGTAGAGTGATTTTTTTTCTTTTGTATTTTTTTAGCATTGAGTATTCCATTAGATTGCTTGATGGGAGATGCACTCACAGTTTAATACAGTATGTGCCCTCTGCATTGAAAATGCGGAACATATTGGTGCTGAAAGAAAACTTGTTTGTCTGCAATGGCAAATGCTTCATAGCTGTGAGGCATTTTGTTGAACATATGTTGCACACACTACATTCAATGCAAGTTCATCACCAGTATTCTCACACAGTGAATCTTTCAGGGGCTGTCATAAAAACTCTTAAGGCAGTCATGGTACCAACATTATAATTCGAAAGGCAAAGTCTGATGGTGCAGATGAAGCGCTTGTATAAGGTCTGCTTCTTAGTTAATGTAATACAGAGCCTACCAGGAATTGTATTTGTTTCTAAGTACCGTAGCATTTGTCAAAATGAAGGTAAGATGAACAACTCCAGGATTTCACTTTCTGTCCAGGTTTAGGACAAGCTATCGCACTGGCTGGAGAAACAAAAAGTGTTAATTAATTCTTTAGTTAACCAGGGTAAAGCCCCGTCGGTTACAAACTGTTCTCCCAAGGAGCTCCAAAGGAGAAGACAATGAACAAACGATCAATTTAAGAGGTGGATGAGAGGGGGACCCACAGAATCAAACTGAGGACCCAGTCCGGGTGTCAATATTGGCAAGATTTTAACCCAGGTCACAGAGGCGGAATGCAAGGCAAGCACTGCTGTACCAACCTGACTTCCCTGTCCCACAGACAGGGGATTCACCGTACCAGGGGACACATTACAGTATCGGAGGGAAGTATTTTTTTTTTGAATGGGAATGCACAAATGTGAACCTCAGCACTTTGTCTTCAGTAGCACCATCTTTGCTTTCCTTGAAAATCCAGGTCAGGTTCTCGAGACTGGTGTGGCATATCTCCATGGCAACAGAGGCCGGGAAGAATCCAAAAAGATTGTAGAAATGGCAAAGAGACACGGGTGAGGAATCACGTAGAGTCATTTTTCTGTGAGACGATATTATTTGATGTGGGGAGAAACTAATGTGCTAAGAGGGGCTCAGATCTCAATTTGAAAGTGGAAGTGCAGTGTTGTAGTCAAGACTATAACAAGACCAGACACAAGACCATGCACAAGACCATGCACAAGACCATGCACAAGCCCAGTCGCAGGTAACAGTGGGAAAATGACAAAGGAATGCTTTTGTTACAGCCCATTTGAATAGCTTGTGAGTTGTGACTTGAATTCAGACTGGAGGTCTTGTGTTGGTCTTGTGCTGGTCTTGTGAAGGTCTTAAATGGTCTCGACTGTAACACTGGAAGTGGAGGAATGATTTAAAAACTTTCTTGAAATAATTGCAGACTTGTGTACGAAATTTTACTCCATGATTTTCCTGCATTTAGCGAAAATCTTTTTCCTCTTGCTGTTATTAATAGAGGAAATTCAGTTTTTTATCTTGAGTAGGATACATAAAATATTGCAAAAGAAATATCATTTATAAGCAGTAGGCAAAATTGACTGCCCATTTTGAGCGTAAAAGTCAAGTTAACTTATACATGTAGTTTTTTCAACCCTAACACAGTAACAGCTTGTCCTTAATCCTCAATTTTTCACCAAGCCTCTTTTTTTAATATACATGTATATGGTAAGAATTTGAAGTTAATCCTGCGATCCAAAGTCAATCTTTGTAACATACTCATGTCACTTGCTCAGTACACAGTATATTTTGCTTTGTGTAAAGATGGGGAAAACCTTAATTTCCAGGTTGACATGGTAGTCATGGGCGTGTCCATGTCAATTCATTCTTAGCAAATGCCACTTTTTCTCAGGATTTGTCAGACTGTCCATGCTAAAATTGAAGGAGTGCGAGTGGCCAAGTGATTAAGGTTTGTGACTCCAGACCAGAGGGTCAGGGGTTTGAATCCAGCTGCTAGCCATGAGTAGTTGCCTTGGGCAAGCCACTTAACGCCTGCTTGCTTCTCCCCACCCAGAAGTTTAAACGGGTACCGGCATTACCTGGGGATCAATTTTTGCTTGGATTGGCATCCCATCCAGGGGTGGATAGACATTCTAAGTTGTTTCATGCCAAGGAAACCGGAGGTGAACAACAGTCCGATGAGCCAGATAGCTTGAAAACGGACTTGCTTGCCACGTTGCTTTGCTAAGTAAATAATTAAGCCTGTCAACCCATGTACAGCTTGGCATTTGACCTTTTATCAGGTGCGAAACTCTAGCCTTGGGCAATGGCACAGCCTGCAGGGAGACGGAGAGCATCCTGTCCAAGCTCATCACCACCAAAGCCTTTGGTCACCTCAACGTTATGTATTGGTAGGTAGCACGCACAAACATGGCATTAATCAGATGCTGCTTTTTTGGATAATCTTAGGTTTATACTTGAGAGTTGACAGATGCTGAATTCATATTGACCCTTGGCAGCCTCTCCATTCGGCACAGTACGGAGCCCTGTCTTCTTTTTTTTTTCTTTTTTTTTTTGAGGAACCTAGAACAAGTTTAGTATCATAGCAAGAGAAAAACGACAAAATAAAATTAGGGTGAGATTTGTCAGGACTTTTCCTTTTATAAGAAATTTTCAGACAGTCTCTTTTTAAAACTTGGAAATCCTAGGTGCACCATTAAGGCGGTTTTACCCATAAAAGTTAATGGAGAGTACAAGAAATGGGTGATTCAAAGGGCACCCTTGGGCAAGCACAAAGGTGTTCAATAGACTCTACACTGCTTTGGGGCCCTGAAAATCTCAGGTTATTATTTCATGAATGATTTCTATTTCCTCTAATGTCATCCCTGAAATTAGTGCCATAGGTTCCTTCATTTTAAACACTTAACTAATTGATGCCATGCAGGTAGTATTGAACTGCAAACTCGTTCCAGGCTTGGGGTTACTTACTGCCAAAATTCCAAGTGTATAAAGTGACAGGATATCACAGCTCCGGTCCGTTTCTCTAACTTGGATTTAAATGAAGACCCTCAAAAGTCTTTTGTCCCAGATTTGTCCAACATTTCCTACCACACAGTGTTCACAGTTCCACAATGTTCTGTGGGTACATGTACATCAAAATAGGCTTGCCTTTCCCGTGTATCCCATGAACAGGTTGGTAGAGCACACAGAGGCTGGCCAGGTCGTCTTTTACATATTCACTTTTCTTAGCACATGACCAAAGACACATACCCTGCCACCGTCATCACACACATGAAACCCTTGATATAATTTAGCAAGTTTAGATGTTTCATCACTCAGCCGTCTTGGATTTATTTAATCAGGTATCTCTTCACAAAAGATTGTTTCTGTCAGGTGAGATTTATCAGGATGTTGTGTTTTTACATATAAATGTTGATATTGAGCATAAGAAAAGGGTTTTTTAAGGGTTGTTGATACAAGCAGATGTCGGTAAACACAAAGTTGTATCATAGACTCTGGGGGATGCTGTTGTGGGGCCTTCTAAGCCTCTGGTGGGTTTTTTGTCGATATTTCATTTTCCTTCAGTCTCTTCCCTGTTCTGTGACAAATCTCTTGATGTTCCACCCATTAACAGTCAGCTTTGAGGGCACTTGAGTCCTCTTCCCAACCAACTCCTAGATAGCGGTCTGTCACATTTGGGAAGATGGAGATTAAAGTTCAGAACTTCATTCCTTTGTGATTTAAACCAGCTGAAGTTATCTATTTAGGCCACGTCAGTTTCTGCCATCTCTCCTTGAATCGTTCTTTTCCGTGACATCCAGGCCTTCCAGTTCCTTGCCTTTTTTTACCAGATGGCCTTGTTGATAGCAGAAACCCTTCTGTTGATAGCAATTCTTGAAGCGTATCCTTCCAGCTCTTCTTCCTTCTGGGAGTCCCAGTATTTTATCAACAACTCGTTTCTGCAAACAGCAATTCTACCCAGGCTTCCTGTCATAACACAAGTACCATGCGATTCACTTTGTAAACGTGCAACTGCAGATGACCGATTTGGAAACACTGCCTTCAAGGATATAAGCAACATATTTATGTATGGACAAAGGCCACAACAGGATGGTGGTACAGTTTTGTGCCTGCAGAAATATCAGCAATGAGAATTGAATAAAAGTTATCACAGCATCATAAAATCTACATGTACAAAGCACAAATGATATTGTATGCTTAAACAACCGTGCCCCAGTATTTATTGGCCATTGGCACAAGCCTGATTCATAGTACTTTTTGTTTGTGTGATTTTTATTGTTGCCATTATGGACTTGATTGCAGCATTGTGAATGAAGATGGTGCGTCCGTTTACAGTGTGTCGCCTGAGGCCCAGAAGGAAATGCCTAATCTAGACCCTAACCTCAGAAGTGCTGGTAAGTGGATTGGACAGAATGGACAAAGAAAGTGCTTTCACATTAAGTTTATTTTATTGCAATCCTCCTGCGACATCTCGTTTTTGGCAGGAGAGCTAAGGATTTATATACCGATGATTTAATGTTTGTCATGAGTCATTTTATTTGATTCATTTGTGCGGTGTCAGGAAACATTTTTACGTGCTGTAGTGACATGAGACATGTATGCATGTTTTTTTACCTCCTCAAAAGATGAATGGCACTCTCCCCTGTATCTTGGGTGTGTAAAAATGTCAGAACATCAGAACAATCCACAATGAGCCAGCTCGATGTTTCAAAACAGCAAGGTCATCCAGGCAAAAAAGTACCACGTTAATCCATGCAGAGCTGCGCTGTTTTAGCAAATGACCTCGGACACACTTCGCATTTGGCATGCGCCATTGGAATACTGAACCGGTTCATAGATAAGACCTCTCTGAATGGAATTCTGCATTATGATAGGCAGTCCACATTCCATGTGTTCCTCCTGTCACAGTTACCTCAATCCACAAGTTTTTGTCCTTCCTCGGACTTCGCTGGTTCAGTCTAAATGCTGGTTCGTACTTGGCATAAAAGAGAACGCAAAATTGTAACGTCAGATGAAATAGTCATGCTGCAAATTTGCAACAGTTGAACACATCTCAACTCGAGTGAATTTCACTGCCAACATTTCAAAGTGTTGTAATCGCTTCACTTTTACCCTACTCTGAAAAATGAACAGGCCTCAAAGCAGACACGAAGTGTGATGTATGCATGTTGCGCCCCAACTATAGAGCACCAAAGTGAATACGTCACACGTACAAATGTGTGTGTCAAGGGCATTAGGGCGAGAACCGGCATGAAGCTACACGCGCGCTTATTCCATTCGTTTGTACTGCACTCTCCGGTTCACAGTGATGTCACACTTTACTCTCTAGCGTCTGTCCCAACTATAGTGCCACTGTTTGACTGCCACAGCTGTGGTTGGCAGATTTCTATCAAGACTTTCTTAGCCTTCTCCACGTTTATGCAGCTAGCCTCACACATGACATCATTCATCCAATATATGCCAACCTGGCATCATCTTTTTAAAACTTGTTTCAGGAAGCACAAGTTGTTTATTGGATCGTGATTTTGGCACACGGTTTGGTAAAGATTGGCACTCTGGGCTGTAGTTGGACCAGCCCAACAATAGTACTATGGTTGGAACTGTCCTAGCTGTTGGGACTGACAGTAGGGACATAACAAACTGTGGTCAACAATAGTACTATAGTTGGAACTGTCCTAGCTGTTGGGACTGATAGT